CTGATAGTTTACTTACATTTAAACAGGAAGTTGGCCCCTGAAGTTGCTGCCGGCTCCTGATCCGCCATCCTTTTGAAAATACTGCGCTGTACTCTGGGAAATTTTTGATCAAGGCCAGGCTACAAGACACCTCCCGTGTATCTTTGGTCAGCTAGCTAAACGGCTAACAAACGGAGAACAGACGCCTCGGTAGAACATGAACATTGGAACATGCCTTGTTGGTTCTTGATGACGTATCTCCTAGGGAACTGGGGCGTACCAAGGCATAAAAGCAAGGTTCATTGACATTGAGAAACACCCTACGTCTCTGTGCGACACCATATTGGCTGCCATGTTTCCATCTACAGGAGCCCATGGAGACAAAATGTGTTTACTGATTTGTAACTAATGGTTAATAACTTTCATCATTCATGAACATTGTTGATTTACACATTTACCTCTTTGCTCATTACCAGCGATGAAAGCGAGTCTGATCTGCTTGTCGTTTTGTTGGAGGTTGCACTCCCAGGGATTTTTGACCCTAATGACCATCCGTTGGTAAGGTCTTACTTGAACACAAAAATACTGCCTGCTTGTAGTGATTTAGGTATGTTCTGCCCCCTATCGCCAGGGAAAACACACACCGTCACTTTAACCACAAATCCAACTTCTTTTAAATGATTCACTGTCTCCTCAGTTTTCTTATTCAGAAGACGAAGTTTAATAGCAACAAAATCAGGATAAAATGAAATAAATTAAGGAAAAACACTGCATCAGTGGACAGTTACATCATTCCAGTCTACATGGAGGCACCATGGAAGCATCTGTCGAAATCTGCTTCCTCACAAAAACAGTTTTTCTTTTTATTTATCATAACTTTATTATTTTTTTGTAAATTGTGGCCAGAATCTGAAAGTATGTTCGTAGTCTGGGTGCTTTTTGATTCCATACTTGAACAGTTTCTGACTTAAAGCATAAATCACTGGTTTGCCAAAACATTTTTTGACAAAGAACCAATTTGAATTGGATTTTTCGCTCTCTGTTGCGAGCAGCCCGTAACAAGGTTGATGAAAACTATTGATCAAGATTATTTTAAAATTAAACAATAAAGTTATTTGAAAGTAAGAGATAAAGAGTGGTCTACAAACTTTAGCCCATATGTAATTACTGCTCTTGGTGTTATCCGTAGTTGGAAAACACAAGAATTTTAAGACCTTGGCTCCTTTCCACGTGCTGCATTGTGCATTGAAATCTTATTTTGCTTTATTGGTACATAGCAGTTATTGACGAGCCCACCTCACATCCCTCCTCCCCTGCGTTAGTGACAGCCTGAGCTGTTAGAAAAATAAAGGGGAATCAATGGGGAAAATGTCCTGAAACAGTCGATCCAGGAGCCATCTGGCCCCGGTGGTCCTCGGAGAAAAGCAGCTCGTCCCCGGTGAGAAGACAAACAGTGAAAACGCTGAGAGTGAGAAGATGCACAAGCACACTACAACACAAAGCAAGTCTTAACTCAATAACACATAAATTCTCATAATGGGCTCCGCATCATGCTGTTACATAAGACTGAGACGTTTTCAGGCTCATTTAAGGAACATTTGGCCTGGTTCTTAACTCAACTGAAGGAAAATGAACCGGATGCTGAATTATTTAGATGTCATTTACACAACTATGACTGCTCTAAGGTTCAATAATTATTTTCACTAACAGGTTTATTTACCAAACAAATATGTCATCAAAATTCTAGATCTAAATCTTTTCTTTAGGAGTTTAAAATCATTTGTGAAGCTTTTGCTTAGTTCTAAATAAACCCCCACAAAATAATACAGTTGTTATAAAAATCAGAGTTGTTTTCACAGAAAAACAATATTTAAGTTGGAAAATTCAACTTTTGTTAAGTGCATAAATATCTCACTAATCAACACTATGTTATGAAGTGAACCGCAGTTTTGTCTGAGTTTTACCCAAAGGAAAGTCAAAGTAACAAGGAAACGAAAAGAACTGAGAGAGAGCTGACTAGCTCAAAAGGTAGAAAAGTTGGAAAATTAAATAAAAATGACTAAAAAGTATAAAACGAAAAGTCAGAAATCAACCTATAGCCTTTCATCCCAGATTTTTAGGCTATGTTGATAAATGATGGAGTTTTAGCTCAAGCTTGTAGAATGCGTCACACTGCAAAAGCGGATTTCTACGGAAGTGAAAATGTCTTATTTTTAGATGTTTTATTTTATTTTAAGACTAAAATATCTTCTCTAGAAAAGTAGCATCATTTAAAATAAGGAAAATATTATTGAATGTCATCTAAAAATTTTTGTTTTGAGTAAAAAAAAAGTCTGCCTTTCACAAAAGTAGCTTCCCTAGAATTCTTAAAGGTAACAAGTACATCATTCTTTTGCTCAATTTACACAATTCAAGCAACCTTTGCTTTCCCCAAAGGCAGACTTTTCTAAAATTCTAAACAAGAAAATTGAGATTACATTTAATAATATTTTCCTTATTTTAAGTAATGCTATTTTTCTAGAAAATATTTTTTTGTCATAGACTGTTTCACTTCAGTTTTAGCAGTGCACAACGATCTTGTTCCAACTTCAGCATTCAGATGATGTTACTACCATGCCAAGTATTAGTTTAGTTGCTGTTATATTCTCAGTTTTGTTCTTTTTTTGTTTTATTTTTTTTTACCAGCTGTGGCCATCTTGAATTGGTTGCTGATAAAACTTGCAATAAGCACTTTGTGACTTTCTGAATGTTGGTCAGTGAGACTTTAGTTTGTGATTCAAAAATAAAATAAATGAATCTTCTTTGCACTCTTGATCAGGAGTCATTCCCTCTGTGATCGTCTGCGTCCCTGCCGTGCACGTGGACACACATCTGTGTGGCAGGAATTCATTTGCATAGGAGTCTGCAGACATGATGTAGGTGAATGAGTCACTCCTGTGGGCCTTGACACAATGTTCCAACGAGGCTGGAGGTAATTCATTTGGTTGTAATTACCTGAAGAAAGATGGACTTAAAGTTTAATTAACAGCAACTCTTAGTTTTTTATTTTTATGGAAGGTTGTGTTAAGATGTTTTTGCTGCTGAGCATCAGGATCTGTCAACAAAAACATAAACATCCCTAAAGCTTCCTGTTCTGTAGCGTATAAATCATCCACATGGGTCAGCAAAACCCCAAGTAAACTAAAATAGGACGGTGTCACGTTTTCAACTGTTCAACATGTGTTTAAAGCTGATTTTCAAAGTAGATAAAAACCTGGAGTAGCCATGACACAAGAACACATCGTACTGTCCAAAGACCTAGTTTGGACGTCCTACAGACGCGGTTTGGACCGACGGACTCAATATAGAAATGATCTGCACGTTCATGTGACGTTGACTGTTTGCAGTGAGGAGAAAATAAAATAGAATGGATGCAGCAAAGAGTTGTTATTATGATGATGACATCATTTGAAAAAAAAACTTGTTAGAGGTCATGGATCAATAATTTCCCTCCATAACAGCTGTAGTTACAAACGCTGGTGTTGGGAGTTTAAAAAGGTAAAGATACAATTATTTTTATGGCATGTTTTACTGTTTTCTTACATGATAGATAGATAGATAGATAGATAGATAGATAGATAGATAGATAGATAGATAGATAGATAGATAGATAGATAGATAGATAGATAGATAGATAGATAGATAGATAGATAGATAGATAGATAGATAGATAGATAGATAGATAGATAGATAGATAGATAGATAGATAGTATCAACATAGCTGCTGGAGGAGGAGCTGCTTTGAACTTCTTCTAAGTTCTTTCATACATGGAGACAACATGCTGTTACCCTACAGGGGCGAACAGAGGATTAATGAAAGAAAGAAGTTACAAAAGCACAAATCTGTTCAGGTTTTCAAGGGTTTCTCTCTGATCCTAGATGATTGGATGAATGATTTAGATGAAACCATCTGAAAGCATGTAAACTTATCATATGTAGAATCGGTCTGGCATCGAAAATGAAGAATCCGCTGCAGCTGTTACAGGAATCTTTAGAGAAAACAGTTTTTAAAGCAGAATTAGTGAAGTTCATAGCAACAAAAAACAACACATTCTTGTGTGGAAGATTTTATTTTTAGACACAAAAAAGAGCTTAACCAAATTAAAGTATCATGATTTATGGAAGGAAATTATTCATGTAGATGAGTAATTAATCAAATAGCCATTTTTGTGATCGCAAATATCAATTATTGGTGGCAGCCATATTTATAACAGTTATTCAGATTTTAAATAACATCAAGAGTTTCTGACAGCTTTAAAAAGATCCACCCAGTGGTTGATTTATGATTTTAATCTTCCCCCAACAATCAACGCTGCCTTTATTTATCTGATTGTTTGTTCATGACTGTGTTGTGAGAAGTCTGAGCTTTAGACTGGGTTTATTTGTAGAGATCATGTTTCCACAGTGGGGCAACAAAACGCGCTTCAGATGTTTAACATGACTCAGATCTAGCAGGAACAGCCTCTAGATCAGCAGCTGAACTCTTCTCTCCAGCCAGACCCAGCAGGAACACCATCCAGGTGGAGCTGTCCCATCTCCAAAATAATAATAATAATAATAATAAAATAATAAAAAAGAAGAAAACCACAGTCCTCCTTCTCTGCTCCATCAGTGCCGTCTCTGCTGCTGTTTGGGACTCTCACCTGCTCCTCTCTCCCTTCACAGGACTGTTTTTCCCACCGCAGCTCCAGCTCGTGCCTCTCTGCCTGAGCAGCCTGTTGTGACTGAGGCAGCGGCGCTGCTGCTTTTAAATAGGCCTCTAAAAATAACCCACTCCTAGCTGCCCTCTGCAGCCTGACTAACAGACGCTGCAGCCAATGGCGTCCAAGAGGTTCCTGAAAGCTCCACCCACTCCCACTGTCTCAGCGCCTCCTTAATTGGACACCAGTGACATCATCGAGCCTATTTACCTTAAAAGGCCACGCATGAAAATGACTGACAGCTGACTCCTCCTCCCCCCTCTCTCTCTCCCTCGCGCTCTCTCCCCCGTCCCTGGATTGCAGCGGGGTACAGTCTGCTGCTGGTGGAGCAAACCTGGCAACCTGGCAACTTCAAACGGAGACCGATTGGCAATCTGGCAATGCGGAAATAAATCTGGCACCCCCGAGTCCGGATTGAGGAGAGAGGCGTGACAGAGCGCGCGCTGCGAGGAGATAGGACTGTTCTCACAAAGATACAGATAATACACACCTTTCCTGCTTTTGGAGCTTTTCTCCTAGTCCAGGTGCTCAGGTGTGCTCATCTGCACCAGCTTCCATAGCTTTTGTTTTTTCTTTTTACCACTCTTGGGGGGAAAAACGGGGAGAAAAGGAAAGAAGTGCACTTGAAACCCGGACTTTTTCTTTTCACTGACTTTTTGATTTTTTTTTCTTCTTCGTCTATACGATAAACATGGATGTTTTGGCAAATTACAGTATTTTCCAGGAACTGCAACTCGTTCATGACACTGGTTATTTCTCCGCGATGCCTTCCCTGGAGGAAAACTGGCAGCAGGTCAGAAGAACGCATTTTCTCCTCCTTTTGTTCTAGAAACACTAGAATCAGAGACCCTGGTGTCTGGTTGGTGCTTTTCTGTGTGGATTTTTGGTATTTTACACGCGGCGTGTAGTTGCGTCTCTTCTTTTCCGCTCACATGGAGCACCGCGAGGTCCGCTGACAGGAGAAAACACGCACACAGGGAGGGAGTAGGGGGAGGAGAAGAGGGAGGATACTTACATCTAAGCACCACTGGCACAGGATGGGAAACAACATTTTAAAAGTGTGCGTAAACACTCCAAACGAGTTTACGCGCGCCAGGAAACCCCATTTCCCCTTAAATGCGCCATCAGCTGTGTAAAGCTTTATTAGGAGTCTTAATAATTCATTTAGAAACATGAACGTAACGCTTTGGCTTCATGGAATTCCCCACTGATACTCTTCACTTTCACCCTCCCGGATCTGGTGCGTAAAACCCTCAAATGCAGAAGACCAGGACCAAAATAATGCGTTGTGTGAAAAGATTAAACGAGTTTATTTAAATAAAATAAACAGTGCATGAACAGCTATAGTTACTCAGTAGTAATTGTGTGATTTTGATGTTTCTGTTTGAGGTTGGTCATTTTTATTAAAGAGACCTGAGAACAGTTTTCTTCCTGTAACTTTTCTGTATCTGTTTGATTTCCTATGAGGCAAATTGAAGTTTCTTTTAAAAATATTGTTAAATTTGTCTGTGGATGGGGAAGTGGTTCTGGTTCAAAGCGATCCTGGAAATTCTGGTATTTGAATCCTGCAGGATGCTGCTGCTCTTAGCTCTCTGTGATCAATAGAGGAGTCAGTCAGCCTGATTTGTTTGGACTACACACACACACACACACATACACACACACATACACACACACACACATACACACACACACACACACACACACACACACACACACACATACACACACACACATACACACACACACACACACACACACACACACACACACACACACACAAGATGGACACCTGCTTAATAGGAATTGACTTTTTCTTAAATAATACATCCACATCTGCCACTGTTTGTTTGTGGATAATCCTGCTGAATAATGCATAACGTCCACTGTAAAGCAGAAGGAATAAAGCATCCTATAATATTTAATTCATCAGTTTAAAAAATCCCACTTGGTTTAAATGTGTAAAACTGAGGCTTTTATTTAAAAACCATCTGCTGGAGCCCCTTAGGTTGGTGCACCGTGTGTATCTGATACATGTGCATGTTTTATTCCTGCTGAATGAAGCACAAACTAGACTTTTCCTCAGTGACTGTCTTACTGACACCGATTCCTGCTGGCTCAGCCTATTTTTAGAGCAAACATCACATAGTTGAATCCTTGTAAGCCTGTTCCTGGTCTGTTATCACAATGTTAATTGACTTGAGGGTGTTCCAGGATATAACTAATATGGGCAGGTCTGTAAAGATCCAGTTTGGGTTGATGGGAGAGTTTAAATATATTCACTCTTGTAATTAAAGCATGAGATATAAAACACACAGAGGCGGGCTTAGACTATAAGAAAAGTGTCACTAAAATAAACATTCTTGCAAAAAAATAAATGGCCAGAAGGGTTTTCTCTAGTTTATGGACATTTGAGTTGTTCCTAACACAAAATAATATGATGTTAAAATATCCATGAAACATCATAATAGAACATTTCTTTGGTATATAAGTCGTACTATTTCAAGTTTTTAGTGAATAACTTTGAATTGTAGTCATAAAATATTAGCATCATAGACATGGAGCAGTTGTGTCTGTCCAATAAATATTCTAACTTAGTCTGTGACTATAGAAAACACAAATTCTCATATGAAATCCAGCTGAATTGATGCAATTTAGTAAGAAAATGTCTCAATTATGACTTATTTTATTTGCAATTTGGTCACCAACCCTTCCCAAAGTTATCTAACATTTTTTCACTTTTGACTTGTGGAAACAACATTGACATTCAGATGCTTGTACTAAAGAAACCGAGCTTTGCCACATTCATCATTATTGTAATTGTATTATATCAATGTCACAAAGAGTTACACAAGTAGCAGACACCAATCTGTGATAAATCTGAGTCAGAAAAAAGTGTCTGATAATGAGAGTTTAGTGCAGCTGATGTAATCATCACAATATTCTACTTTAATGTTGCTGTCAGGCTGTTACAGTTGTGTTGCCTTATGTTGAATTTGAATGTCTGAGCTTCTGCAGATAAATAAACACTCACTTAGCCTTCCAGCCTCCTTTCAGCATTTTGTTTTCTTTATTGTTGATTTTAAATAACTCTGTGCTTTAGCCTCTGTTGTTTTAATGACATTAAGTTGAGAGAAACAGGCTATTGTGAAAAGGAAAAGGCCTTCAGGTGTGTTCGTCTGCACCTGTGTGCTAATAGCTTAGCTGCTGCTAGCCTCCAACATTAATATCTGGATGCTAATTCTATGTTCCAACTAAAATAAATTCATTTATGAGTTAAGCACTTTGTTTGCAATGTAAGCAGTTTGTTTTTATGGGGGAATATTTTCTAATAATTTCTAGGGCTAAAAGTGAGGAGAGACGGTTGGAGAGGACAAATATTCCTGCAGAAGCTGCGTGACAAACACATTCACACAGACCTGGCATGGCCGCATCTTTTCCAGTCTCATTCCTTCTGTCTCACTCTACTCCCTCCATCACACACACACACACACACACACACACACACACACACACACACACACACACACACACACACACACACACACACACACACACACACATGCTTGGCTGGCATGCACTAATGGAAAGCCATGGTCTGGCAGGACTCATCCCGCCACTTTCGACAGTAATTGGCCGTTTGCTGTCAGACAGACCTCTCTCTCTCTTACACACACACACACACACACACACACACACACACACACACACACACACACACACACACACACACACAGGCAAACTGATTTGTGGGTATCATTTATCTTTCTGTGCTCTCCATTTTCCCGTTCTTTGTTTCCTCTTCTTTTATCAGCTGATTTCAATCGAGGCTAAAGATGAGGATGTGAAAAATGCTCACACTGTCTCACCTGTCTGTCATTTTTGTTACACCTGACAGTAGGAGCCCCCATTCTGGGTGTAATTGCTGCATCTTCTTAGGGTAGGGTGGATGTGATGGGCTTTAGGGATTGTGTGTGTGTGTGTGTGTGTGTGTGTGTGTGTGTGTGTGTGTGTGTGTGTGTGTGTGTGTGTGTGTGTGTGTGTGTGTGTGTGTGTGTGTGTTTTGAGTGGTCAGGGATCAAACCCAGACTTCCCAATTAGATGTAATCCATTTATTTCAAAGCAGAGCAGCTCCAAAGCCCGATGAACAGGAGGGAAAATGGAGCCAGCGAGCTCAGAGGTGTAATCGAAGCTGAGGTTCTGGTTTCATGTGGCTGTTATTGAGCTGCTCTTACAGGCTGAGACACATTTTGGACAATGTTTGCAGGAATCTGTTTAAAAGTCTAACAGCGCTGGAAAGAGGCTGGTTCAAACATCACTTTCTGCTCTCCTCTCCTCGTTTACATGCTCGGTGTGTCTGTAGTTCCTTTCAGGCGTATTGATTTATTTGCCGTGGAGTCATTACAGCGCTATGCTAGACCAGCCAGTTCTGTGTTACTGAGATACTGAGTCTCTTTTTGTTCAGGCAAGGCTACAACCCTGAATCTGTGTGGTAATCTAAATACAGCTGCACTTACTTATGTTCAGTAATCCATGTAGAATGAAACAAAATCAAAACTCTGGTCAAATTTAGACCTTTTTCATTTAATTTGCTCAAATTCGATGTTAATGTACAGATAAATGTAATTATGTGGTGCTATTTTAAATCTAATAATGCCTTTTATTTCACATTAAATATAATAATTTATGAGCCATCTTTCAGGGCTGATAACTCAAACAGCTCCGATCAATTCTGATTTATCTCATAGTATCATGTATGTCTGATTAACTTCAAAATAGTGAGTCTGGAGGTAAGATCTGATATCGTGAGCATGAATTAGCACTTAGCAATGATTCTTTAAATCTGCTTTAGTGAATCAAGAGAACAAGCTAGGCTTTGAATGCAAACACAGTCATGGAACACTCATTCCTCCCCCCGGGAATCATCCCTGACACGCTTCTGCCAGAACCAGAAACCCACATTAACAGAGGAAACGAGATAGCGCTAAACACCATTAGCTGTTTTCTAGGTCCAAACGTCTTTTGTGGTCCGTGACTTAAAATGGTGTTTTCCCTTTTGGGACTCTGGTAGTCTGTCCTAAAGTTGAAGTGGTAGCAGCCGGCTGTTTCTCTTCTCATGTTATTGAGCAGAGAACCTCTCACACCGGTGGTGTTCAGTAGCTAAATATGTGAGTGTGTAGTGAATGGAGGACCCAGGGAAGCACTGCGGGTTGGTGAGAACGACAGCCAGTTGCTTTTGGTCCGAAACATGTTATTGGTGGAGGTTTTTAGACAAATGCAAATGAACCACTTCATTTTTTGTTGTTTTTCTTTTTAATCTCCACAATGTATTTATAGCTACACTATAGCCCCCTTCAGACAGGCCATGAAAAACGGAAATGTTCCGGACTCTGTCCGTAAGACCTTTGTGTCTGAATACAAACATCCGGATAACGTGTTCCGGAATTTATCCGGACGAAGCCCCTAGTAACAGGTCCGGACTTGTTACGGACAGGGTGGCTGCTTCAGACTGGTGAGGTAAAGTTCTGGACAAGGGGGAGGGGGAGGGGACCGGGGGACGCTGTGTGCACCCAGATAGCCCGCTGCTGTAGCATGCGGCGAACCACGGCAGCTCGCCTCCTACGGTACCGCCTAGACGTGCGACGGAGCTCTTCACACCTCTTCAGTGATTCCTTTAACCATTGAGCTTCATCATCCAGGTCTCTTATGCGTCTTCGTGTGCGCAGAATTATGCTTAAGCGCCTCGTGATTTTTATCTTGAGAGGCGCTATAGAAATGATATTTTCTTCTTCT